ACATTTAAGGCAGATGGAGTGCCATAACTTGCTACATTATTTCATTTTTAATCTCTATAATTTTTCTGCTGCTTCCGTCCATGTAAAGGGAAAATGTGATAACTACAGCGTCTCTATGCAGCAAGACGTGTTCCCTAGCGAATTTCTGTTACATTTAGGGCTATAGAATATTTCTTCTTGTTCTCAGTGCATGGCAGTAGTTACGTTTCACTAGCAGTGAGCATCAAAGTTTCTTTCAAGTCCTTTAAGTTCCTTGTTTTTAATTCCTCCATATAGCCTGTCCATCTGGGCAGCTGTATCAGTCATTGGTCTCAGAACTCTTCCTGTGTGTTGTACTGTTCTTGCAAAAGAGGCATCTGAGTTTTTTCACTGCAATTAGAGCCATGAGCCTCACCGTTATGTGTGAACTGGGATCTGGATGGAATGTCCTCTTTTATCCTTATACTCCTTGTGAGGTTGGCTCTAAAACACATCCCTGTTTAGGATATGATTAAGATGAAAGGCCCAGATCTTCAAAGGTGTTTAGGCTCCACTGATTTCAATGGAAATTAGGAGCCAAAATACCTTTGAGGATCTGGGTCTGAACCTGTGCTTGGAGAAGTCGATAGGAGTGCTCCCATTGATTTCACTGGTGAAGGATCTGGCCCTTTCTTTGTTCAACCACAATACTTGACAACGGTCATCAGAAGAAGCCTTGTAAGATATGTGGAAATATATAATGGCCAACATTAACTATGCGCATGTTTAAAGCTTGGCATTTTCTGAATTGCTTTAATTGTATTTTCCGAGGTTATCTGGGTGTAGGTTGTATTTGCAGTTGACTTTAAACAGTATAAATTACCGTGTATGTTCAGGTATATTTGCTTCCTCTCACAACACAAGTACTTTTCTGGGTTTCAAATATGTTGTCAAGTTAAATGTCCTTGTGCTTTGGAATTCTTAGAAATGTAGATTTTCCTGTTACCTTGCTTCACTTCTTCACAATTTGACTTCTTTTTTTCTCTTGGGGTTCTTTTTTGTGTTTTCGCTATTCACAATTACATTAATGGAAAAACCTAGTTATGCTATCTCAGCTTTTCACAACTCCTCTCTGCAACTAGATAGCAAAGTACAGGATTTTGGCTCAGTCTGTGGCAGAAATGCATAGGCTGAGGCTGCCACAACAAAAGTACATTTATTCTGTTTCTCCAAATGTGGAAGGGTGTCATACAAACTGTGCTGTAAAAGGTCCCCAACCTTTCCTGAACTGATGGTGGTAGATTTTGACCATGAAAGGCCAGATCCAGAGGTGCTTTAGATCTGTGGAGTCCCTTTGCAATAAATGTACACCATTTGTGGATTCAGCCCAAAGTAGAGATTTTTAAGATGTTTATTTCTAGAGGGAAAGCTAAATATCAAAATGATAGAATACAAAAGTGGTGAAAGGTGCTTATCAAACCATAAGTTCTTGCAGAACAAGACCTGAACAGCTTTTTGTCTTATTTACTATTCTTCTGCTTTTGGCCAAGTAAATCTCCCTGTTCTAAACATTTAAAAGTCCAGTGTAGTTACATTCTATCTTGCTGTTATGTCTGGACAGTTTGGTTGGCTTTGCAGCGTCTTAGAGGCTTAGGGCAGATACAAAGATGATTAGGGAAAAAATGCTGTTGAGGGTAGACAATGAGCCTCTCCTTAAAGATAATGACTGTGATTAGTAGCACAGATAAAGACAGTACCTCCATTCCATACCACTGTTATATATTTAATATTGTAGTAACAGGTTCCACATGTTCAGAAACAAACCCCTCTCACAGCATGATAAGCAACTGTATGTAAACACGTCAGTCACCCCATTTGAGCAAAGAGAATAACTGAAGACGTGTGAAGAGTGCAGCAAAACAGAGGGTGGAAGAACCACACCAATGGGAGAAAATGATGCATAAGGAAAAAATATCAGGAACATCCATGCCAAGATTTTTTTTTTTTTTACACTTTGATAGTTTAAGATTAACAAAGTCTTATATTCCTAACGTTAGCTTTCCCCTTTCTCTTGCCACCTAGAGTTATCCACTTCTCTGTGCTGCTTAGAATTTCAATTATTGTCTGGTAGAGAATTTTCTTGTATTGCTTCACCACTCCTGCCATATCTGAGAGTACAACCATTTGAAGCCCAGAAACTCAGCTAGCTCACAAACTTCAAGACTAATAGTGAGCCTAAAAGAGGACTCATTGTGTCCTTCCAATATTATGGCTGCACACCACCTTGTTCTGGGTATATCTGGTAACTGAGTGTGTTCATCATCTTTTCCAGGTGCACAAAATGTGCAGCTATGGATATCCATCTAAGTGGAGGGTGTGGCGGCAGCGAAGTTTAGATCTCATAACATCATACTAAAAGGACATTTTGACTTGTTGGAGATAGTTTTAAACAATAGAATGGAAAACAGCCAACTGTCACTGCTTCAGAGATGCTACACTTAATTTGCTTGGAGAATTCTCTGTGGCCCACAGCTAATGAAAGAGGTGTCCTTTTTGAGGAAATGGAAACAACTTGTATATTGTAGGGACCCTTGCCAATGCTTTCCTTAATACAAACCAGCTAGCAAACAGAATTTTAATACATGAAAAATACTGACTGAAAGACTGACTTGGACTGAGCTGAGAAATCCATCATCTGTCAGGAAACAGGTGCTTAAAAACAAACAAATGTGCTTTAGTGACCGTGAAAGAAACTCTGATATCAGGATGGTGAGCCAGATAATAGCGGGAGGCATTCATTTGTTATAAAACTTTACATAAGTTGGGGTCTTTGTGCTCGAGATCAGTGCAAGAAAGGAATAGCAGGTTTTCCAACCAATTTAAGGTAAATAGCAAATTGGTTGTACAAATTTTTCTTTTAAGATGTTTGAGGTCATGTTTATCTGCATTTTTTTAACAGCTAGCAGAAATTGTATAGGGTACGCAAGAGTAGCTCCTCCAAACAGTGATTGAAAGCCATTTTAAAATGTTGTTACAGAATGAATCTAACTCCACTCTGCTTTGTCTTGGTCGCTCCTATGATAGCAGCACTTCAGCACTCAGTAGTAATAGTAGTCTGTCAGCATCTCCACTGTACTCTGACCTTACTCACAACAAAGGGATTTAATCTATTCTTATCTGCCCCAACAGACTTGTTCCCCATTGCCAAATCAGTTTGCTGTGCAATTCCAATGAAGCGGTAACTGAGGTCATAATTTGGCCCACAAAATCTTTCATTTAATAGGGAAGTGTATGAGGAGAAGAAGAGAACCCAGCTTAACTCTCAGAACCCTGGCTGAGGTTGGAAGGCTGACAGTAAGAAAAAACAAACATAACCTACTTTTTTTTTTTTAATCCGGAATCACTGAGACACAATAAACATGGAACCCCTTAATGCTCTTTTTACAGAGTTACTTTTCAGAGTAACTCTAAATATAAGGCACAATGATTTGTACTGGCTGTGATACTATTTGCACGTTGTTGAAGACACAAATTATTGTCATGCAGCCAAACTTTCAGAAGTAGAGACTGCTGTTCTGTGACTGAGATTTTGAGTGACCAACTTGAGAACCCAGAGTCCCTGACCGTGGGTATCTCAAGATAAGAGTGCAAAAATGGAGAGCACCCAAAATCGTGAGCGCTTCTGAATATTTTTGATTTAGTGAATTATATATGTAGAGCACCTACACCTTAAGTGTAGCAGTCTTAAAGGGAGTCCACATTATGAGAGGCACTGTCCTTTTTTGAAGCCTCCTGTATTATTAAAATATGGAAATCCAAGTACTCTTATGTCTTTGTTCAAATATGATCTTTTAAAACAAAAAATGAGATGTTTAAATGGCTTCACTGATGCGTGAAGCCATGAGTACTGCCGTCATCGTTAACGAGAGTGTCTCACTTCTAAAGTCATGCACTCTACACTATGCTTTGAATAGTCCAACCCTTTTGCATTAGGAGTTCACCACTTTGTACTGAGAAAACTTATTAGTGCATCCCACACACATTCCAACACAGTTTGTTACACGTTACGACACAGATCAAGGCCCACAAAAAGTCACTGACTTGTGCTTTTGTGCATATTTGTACGCATCAGATAATTGTGCATGTAGATGTACTTTTAGCTATGCACTCACCTGATTTGTGTGCATCACGTGGGGTTTTATTATTTTTCAACTTGGATTATAGTTCCACCTGGGGTTACCAACCAAGCTAAGGCTAGGTGCTCTGCAAACACAGAGATGGACTGTGCCATCAGCAGCTTGTTTTGCGTGTGCAGTGGTTGTGTGCAACTACTTAGCTCCACTTCCAGTAATAAGCTAACGTGTAACATCACTGTAATTCATTAATTTCTAAATGATAAAGTTATAATGTTGCATAAAGTAAAAAAAAAAATCTTTATGTATATCTAATGCACAGCCTGCAAGCCTCTACAGTCAATGTTCCTAACTGCCACTCTGACCTTTACTGTATTAGTGTGTAACCTGCAGAGAGAATAGTAGGACATGTAGAACACTGTATAGATTTCTAGAACAATACCTTCTAAATACAATACTGTATAGATTTGCAGACAATACCTTGGAAAATTCTGCGCTTGATGTCTGCGAGTAACAAACACAATGCTCGGATTTGTGTGAATTCCTCTGAGATTCCACAACACAATGTGATGAATATTGTATAGTTCCATCACTTGAAAAACTACAAAGAAAATGTAAGTAATCTCTTTCACTTTGTGCACATGAAGTGTAGCAGTCTGGACCTGGCCAGCTGTTAACGTGGTCCTCTGCTGCATAAATTATGAGTGCTCCAATTTACTAGTTACTACAGGCAATAAATCCAGTTCATTGCATTAAGCTGATAAAGCCATTACATTTATTGTTCGAGGTCATTAAAAAAAATCTAATCAACAGATTAACAATTATCCCAATTTACTATACAAAGCTTAGCACAGGAATTGATGGCACTGATCAAAGACAGGATCTTGTATTCAGTCCCCTCTTACTTACCTTCTGCATCTACTGTGTTAATGTCACCGCTGCAAGTGGAACATGTCATCTCCAAGCTGCTTCTAAGTAATATCTAGTTACCCAAGTGAAATAGTCTGGTTCTTGTGGGCTCTGTTCTGTCACAGCAAAGTCAATGCTATTGTTAGTCACAATGTGATGCTGTGTGCTGCTTTCTCTCCTGGTGTCCTTTTACCTATTCTAGAAAAGAGTCTGTCTTGTAAAATAAATGAAAAGCAACTGTATTCCTTATCTTATTTATGGTTTCTATATTGTAAATAGGAAACAATAACAAATGATGTTTATCTTTGCAAGGAATACATCTTTCACTTACATCTTAATTCCTGCAGTTCAAAAGGAGGCTCAACCGCCTGACTTGGGGGAAGGGCTCTCTTCCAGTGGATGAGACCAAGAGGAGCTTGCCAATAAGCCAAAGAGCACAGTTGTGATGGATGTCTCTGTGCGCAAAGCTGCCTTTTGGTAGGGGAGCTTGGTGTCTGAAAGCAAGAAGAGAGCTGTTCTTTGTTGAACGATTCCTGCATGCGTCTGATTTAGAGAGCTGCTTTTTTACGGGGGGCAGCAAGGATCTTGCTGTGGACAGAGAGATTCATTCATTATCAGCAGACACGATCTCTTAAGTAGGAGCTTTGAACTTGGGCACAGGCACTTCATGTGTATCATACGCACATTTCTATCAGTCAGGAAATGGATGGTTTCACTTTTGCTGTCTGTCTCCCCTTTTTTCTGCACTCTGAGCTCAGAAGAGTTTGCTTACTGTTCTCTTGTGATTTTGGAGTCTCCACCAGGCTGTCAGAGGAGAGGTCTGTACCCTTTGAATAAAGGATGATGACATACTAGCAAACAAGATTGTTAAACCCCTCTGCTCATTTGTCATGCTTCTGACTGCCATTAACGAAACCTCCAGTATCTGAGACTACTGGTATTTTAATTCTGAATGCGCCTGGAGAGGTGTGTGTGTGTGTGTGTGTGTGTGTGTGTGTGTGTGTGTGTGTGTGTGTAGTAGAAGAAG